CATAACCTCTAGAAGCGTAGCCTATTCATTAAAAAAAATAGTAACACTCATCATGACCCCAACTAATGTTAACCAAGTGCTATATGAGCTCGGAGCTTTGCATCCATGGTCTCATTTAATGATCTTGACAACCTCTCCCCATGTCATATACTGTCACTACCCCCATTTTCCAAATTAGGAAGCTGAAGTTCCTAGAGTAAGTTAAATTCGCATTATTTGAAAATAGTGGAATCAGATCTAACTCCCACGTCTGCATGATTATAATGCATGTTTCTCACCACTAAAGTAATCCTGTTTGATAAAGGGCAGTAGAAAGATGAATGAAAGGTGGGGGAAGCCATAATAAAATAATATGCAGGAAACTGGCAGGGAGCTCACTGAGACAATCATCTTGACAGCAAATCAACATGTATGAAGATATTAAGCTCGTCCAATTTTTTAATTAGTAGGGGCCTCTGAGGAAGGGAGCAGAGAGCTGGAGATGTCACTGAAACTATCAGAAGGCCCACGAAAATGACATATGGGTCACTGGAAAACCAGCAAGCACCCACTGTTCACCCTGATTTTCTCTCTGGGCTGGGAAAAGAGCTAGAGAAAAGGAAGTATTTGCAGACCTCACTAAATGTGGGGTCAAAGGGACAAGATGGACGAACTCTGCCCCTCCCAAATTTATCTCATATTCTCCCAGAATGTAAAGAGAACCCTCGGAATGTCACCAAGATGACATCTGTCAAAACTGCACATGTCTAGTAACTTATCAAGCAGTTCTTTCTACTGCCCTTTGTATGCTTGCCCACAGGAATCTGAGCAGGAGGCAGAAGAAAGGACACAACAGGAGGGATGGCTTCTCAGGACTCTCAGGCCAAGAGAAAGTGGGTAGAGGGTGGAGAAAGCTTAGTGAACAACTTAGAACAACAAAGGGAATGAAGAACAAAGCAAGTGATTTCATGAGGCCTGTGACAACAGGGTAACGAAGACCTTGAGGTCTGGCTGAGTGTGAAAAGACTTGCCAAACTGAGGGTGGGATTTCTGGAGAGGACCTATAAAGGGAGTCAGGCCAACAGAGCTGTAGGAAAAGTCTATTAGTGCTCAACAAAAATTGTGTCGGGCCTCCCTGGTGGCGCAGCGGTTGAGCGCTGGGCTGCGAAGCTGCCCGCAGCCTCTGCAGCACCAGTTCAGTCCCCGGACGCCAGCAAGGGTCCCACATGGCACGCAGAGCTCTCCTGCTGCCCGCTGCTCCCCCCAGCAGTGTATTTCATCAGTCTGTCTGTTCTGCTCCCTGCTCTGGCTCTGGTGAATTCTCTCACCCTCCCGTGCTTCTGACTGTACCCAGTGCTTGTATAAATAAATAAATAAATCTTAAAAAAAAAAATTGTGTCTACATGATCTCATTTAGTCATCCAACAAACAGTGATCATGTGTGGATATATTGGGTATGTACTGAACCAGGTAAAGGGAAACCATGAGAGCAATTCTCCCACCAGAAATTTTGGGTGGAACACAGCCCAACAAATTGGCAATGATGATACAATTGTACAATGATGATATAATGAAACCCCCAAAAAGGAGCACACACACAGGGTGCTCTGGTATTGTAAGTTAATATTACTAATGACAATTTTTTTATTAAACTTTTTTTATTTTCTTACATCATTGTTCATTTCTGTACAGTATTTGATTTCTCCGCTCAGGTGCAGTCCCCATAATCTTCCACCACCACATCACCTGTGATCTGTCACCAAAGTTTCTTGTGTTCTTCGCTCCCTTATTTTGACCCATCTCCCTCTCCCTCCCCTGCAGTATGCCTCAGATCTATAGTTTCTGCAAATCTTGTAATTTTTTTGACACTTTGTTCAGTTTCCCTATATTCTACCGATAAGTGATACCATCCAATATTTTTCTTTTTCCTTCTGACTTATATTCACGGAGCATAATCCCTTCCAGCTTCATCCATGTTGCTGTGAATGGCAAGAGTTTATCTTTTCTGATTGCTGAGTAGAATTCCACGGTGTATATATACCACGTCTTAGTCCAGTCCTCTGTTTTGGGGCATTTTGGTTGTTTCCATATCTGAGTTATTGTAAATAGTGTTGCTATAAACATAGGGGTGCAGGTTTCCTTTTGAATTAATGTTTTTGTGTCCTTTGGGTAGATTTCTAGGAGTGGAATTGCTGGCTCATATGACAGACCTATTTTTAGTAGTCTGAGGGTCCTCCACACAGCTTTCCATAGTGATTGGACCAGTTTGCGTTCCCACCAGCAGTATAAAATGGTTCCTTTTTCTCCACATGCTCGCCAGCTTTTTTTGTTGCCAGTTTTTTTAATAGGGGCTATTGTCACCAGTGTGAGGTGGTTTCTCACTGAGCTTTTGATTTACATTTCCCTGATCATAAGTGATCATTTTTTCATATGCCTTTGGCCATTTTCTCTTTGGAAAAATGTCTTTTTAGCTCTTCTGCCCATTTTTTGACTGGGTTGTTGAGTTGTATTGGGTTGTTGAGTTGTATAAGCTCTTTGTAGATCCTTGCTATCAGTGCCTTATCAGATGTATGGAGTGCATGTATTATGGAGTATGGGGAGCAAATATTTTAAAGACAAGTTATTATAGGAAAAAGCATTCTTTAATACTTTATTCAAGGGGGTCTGCTATGATGGGGGTTTGTAGTGGGGAGAGAGACTGGACTCAACTGAATACAATAAGTAAAAGTGTGAATCTATGGCCAAGTTGCAGGGTGTGGGCAAATGGATGGAAAATCACTAGGAGGAAACATAAGGGGGTAAGGGAGGTTTCTGGCTAAACTGACCTAATATGATTTTTGCTGAGGGCAGGCCAGGGTTACCAGATATTACTTGGGCACTGGAAAACAATGAGGAAATTAATCAGATAGCAATGGTGATCAGATATTGATCTGGATAAATTGACTAAGCAGGATTCTTGCTAAAATTATGCAATTCATAGATGTACATAGAAGTATAAAAGTCAAAGCCTGGTTGAAAAAGAACTCAGAAAAGCCTGAGTGGAGTTTGGCCAGAAAATCCTGATCAATATTTATCCAGTCATCACTGGAAGGGGGCAGAAAGTGACTGGGTTGGGCTTCAAAAGGTTAAGTGAGTTCTATAATATTGAATAGGATTCACCAAAGTGAAGCATGGGAGGAAGAACAAAGTGTCAATGGGGCCTTTAGGAAGCAAAAGAAGCATGAAGCAAAAATCAAGAGAGAAAATGACATTTCTTGGAACTGCTAGAAACTCAGTTCAGTTTGTGCTCCGAGGGAGAGGTAGGAAGCTACACTCAGACTTTGGACTGCATCCTGAAGCCACTGGGGCCTCCATCTCTGGGTTTTCCATCCAAGGGAAGAGCTGATCATCATTTCTTACAGGGCTGTCTTGGGTGGTTAGTGCCTTGACTACCAATAATAAAAAAACATGCCAGCTCTTTGCAAACACCTGGTTCCAACACCCAGCCATCTTGCAGTCAGAACCAAAGGAAGCATTTTGCCTTCTTTCTCTGACTATGAAAACATGATCCTGGTGTCCTGCTATTATTAAAACTCTCAGAGCCCAAGAAGATGCATTTTGGACTTGATAGTATGTGAAAACTCACATAATTTTTCCAGCCTAATTCCAGTTCAGTGGTCTCACCTTAGTGGCACCTGAGGATCATCTTGGAAGTTTTAAAGAAACTATGCATGCTTTGGTCACCCTCAGAGTCTGATTCAATTGTCTTTGGTGGAGCTGAACATTGTATTTTGTAAAACTATCCCGGGGGTACCCAGCACAGCTGAGGGTGAGATCCACTGCAGAGTACACAGCCCAGTAACAAGAAGTCTTGAGAAAGGAGTGGTCTCCCTTGCCAGGTACTCCAGCTGAAAAGATTCTGGGTCAACTTTGCAAATTAACCTGGCAGGTCTTCAAAAGCTGCCTGTGGCAACTGCTGAGACCACTTAGTGCCCCATCCCATTTTTAGAGACAGATGCAAAAGAGCCTTGTTCAGAAGCCAAGTAAGACAGCTAGAGAGAGAGGGTGGTGTACCTGTCCCTGGGCCCCTAAGGGCATCATCTCACTCCCAAGCCAGGTAGTCTGAGCAGCACTAAGGAGCTTTGTCAAGGATTTCTTTCTCCCCTGAACTCCCCTGAAACTTCAGGCAGGCTCATTAGCACTTTACTCACGCTCACCCGGTCCCACACATCACCTTCCTTCTCACCCCCACCTCTAGATCATTTTCTTCATTTGCCCATTTATTCAGTGCAGGCAGATTTTGTTCCCTGGGCTCTGAAAAGCACATTTTTGGAATGGAAATGCTGGTAGGAGAGAGAGGTGTTTGCCGGCTCTGAAGCCCTGGTCCATCACCCATCATTGCCCTCCTGGTGAAATCCCATCCATCAGGAGCAGGGAGTGACAAGCCCTCTAAATACTACCCAAGGCACTACCCTGTTTTGTTTCCTCTGTACTGAGACAGGAAATTGTTAGCTCAGAGCCCCTGGGTTGTTTCTGTTGACAATTAACAGCTGCCCTGGTGTTAATTCCCAATCAATAGACCCTAATGCTGCTGCTCTTATAGCTGTCTGGCTTCTGGCCTCCACAGCACATTTTGAAAGTAACTTGACCGGGCAGTGAGAACCTGCTCCCCTGCCACTCCCCAGCAAAGCCCTCACCAGGCTCCCTAAGGACACCAAATGTTCCCCCCATCCCCCAGAGAGAAAGTGAGGGGCCAAGGGACTGTGTGAGCAAGCAGTGAGCGCCACCTCCCTCCCTCAAGTCACATGACAACTTGGGAGACAGGCAGAATCAATACCCCTCTGGAGGACCAGCCCCTTGGGATATTCATGAAGCTTCATTTTTCTATTTTGGCTTTTTTGGAATTTTTTTCTGTTCTGTTTGTTTTGAGATGGCTGTATTTTCCCTCCATCTAAAAAAAACCCTTCTCATTCAAATCAGTCTTATTTTTTTTTTAATCACAGCCGCAGTTTCTCATTTCTGACCTGTATTGCTTCCTCCAGCACCCTGTGGGCAGAATGAGACCCGAGAGGATGGTAAAATAATCCAGCTGCCTCCCTGCAAGACAGGAGCCTGGATCGTGCCAGCCATCATGGCCTGCTACCTTCTGGTGGCCAATATCCTACTGGTCAACCTCCTCATCGCTGTGTTTAAGTAAGTGGGTCTTTCTTCAGAGCCCCAGGGAATGGGGGCTTAGAGGCCCCGGAGAGGAACCAACGCTTGAGAGAGCAGTGGAGTTTTTCACTTCATTCTCTCTGCCATCTATTTCAGCAATACATTTTTTGAGGTAAAATCAATCTCCAACCAAGTGTGGAAGTTCCAGAGGTATCAGCTCATCATGACTTTCCACGAGCGGCCGGTTCTGCCCCCACCTCTGATCATCTTCAGCCACATGACCATGATTTTCCAGCACCTGTGCTGCCGATGGAGGAAACATGAGAGCGACCCAGATGAGCGGGACTATGGTCTCAGTAAGTTTCGAGTGACCATCCCCCACAACTACAAAGCAGAAATCCCTACGGCTTCCCTTCCCACAGGCAGCCATGCAGGCCGCTCGATTCATCCTGCTTCCTGCCGACTGTCTGCAGCACTGAAGACTTGGGAGGCCTTGGGAGGGCATGCTTGCATGAGAAACTGGACTAGAAAGAAATAGCTGAAATCAAACATTCTTAGCCTCGCGTCTTCCTTAATGAGGCAGAATCAGTTTCCAGCAGGGCTGCTGGAACACCTTCATAACTACGAAGTTTCTTACTTTTCAGAGGTCCCACCACAACATACGTCCACCAAATTACTGTACTTCCAATGACATGCTGAATTTAATTCAAGCACCATTACATATGTCGAGTTGAGTTGCAGGGGACTATGTTTGATATTCCATTGTCATTTCCAGACCAATCATTTTTCTAAAGATCTTAAACACTTTTGCAAGCCTTAGGGTTGTGTCTGCATGACTTCATGAGGAAATCTGCCCTGCTTTCCCTTTTCGGAGGACAAAACAGAAGACACTCCACATTCCATCTTGTAGCCCAGTGTTTCTAAGAGGAAGTACAGTTGGCACTGGGGGGAACAATTCCTCTTTGTGTAGATTTGCCCCACACTTTGCAGGAGATTTAGTACACCCAGCCTCCTCACATTGAACACCAGTAACTCCTGCAGATTCCTAAATGTTTCTTGGGTACCACCCACAGTTAAGAACCACAGGGAGCCCCGCCCCACACAAGCAGGCTACTATGGTTTCTCAAAGTGTATCAAGGAGGCCACCTACACTCAGTCTACTGAACAGGAGCCAGCAGGATTGAGGCCCAGTAATTACCGAAGGGTAATAACTACTGTATCTAATGTTTAGTCCCAAAAATCACAGGCCTTTGCTCTTACTTCTCTACCTCATACCTCTCATCTTTTTCCCACAGAACTTTTCATAACCGATGATGAGCTCAAGAAAGTACATGATTTTGAAGAACAATGCATAGAGGAATATTTCAGAGAAAAGGATGATCGATTCAACTCATCCAATGATGAGAGGATACGAGTAACTTCAGAAAGGTGTGTGTCAGGGGTGGAAATTTTACATCATGGCTTTATCAATTGATTTGGTTTGCGTAGACACAAAAAAGTAAAGGCAACCCCCCTTCCCTCTGTGTTTATTTTTATTGTCCAAGAAATCCTGGCACTTATGAGAGAACAAGACATTGGCTAAAGTGTCTACAAATCAAAATCCCTGACTTAAGGAGCCTAGATTTCCCCAGCAGATAGCAACTCCCTCCTGGACACTAGGGCTCGCTGAGTCCAGGGCAGGGCTGAAGTTGTTGGCTCACACCAGAAAGGGGAAACTTCTGACACAAACCAACCAAGAGAGAACCAGCTCAACTCAGGGCCCTCCAGTAGGTCTGTGTTCTCAATAGATCCTGAGCCTCTTCTCCAGAGAATAGGATGTCCTAGCCCTTGGCTTACATAGATGCTCAATACCTTATGAATAAACAACAGTGAGAGGCTTGTGAATTAGTATGATGGTTGGGTTTTGATTTTTTTTTTAAAGATTTTTATTGTTTATTTATACAAAAGCTGGGGTACAGGCCAGAGGCGCAGGAGGGTGAGAGGATTCACCAGAGACAGACCAGGGAGCAGAACAGGCAGACAGACTGAAAGCACTGCCAAGGGGAGCAGCGGGCATGACAGGAGAGGTCTGCCACGCCATGTGGGCACCTCCCTGGCCGGCCAGAAATCGAACCTGCACTGTGGAGGCTGCGGACAGCCTCACAGTGCTTCGCTCAACCCATTGTACCATCAGGGAGGCCCAGGTTTTGATTTTTTGAAAAATTATTTGGTTGGGCCTCCCTGGTGGTGCAGGGGGTTGAGTGCTGCACTGTGAAGCTGTCCTCAGCCTCTGCAGCACGAGTTTTATCCCCAGTCAGCCAGGGAGATACCCACATGGCACAGCAGACCTCTCCTGTCTTGCCCGCTGCTCCCCTCAGCAATGTTTTCTGTCCATCTGCCTGTTTTGTTCCCTACTCTGTCTCTGGTGGATGCACTCACCCTCTCGTACCTCCAGCCTGTACCCCAGTTCTTGTATGCATAAATAAATAAATCTAAAAATATATATAAAATTATTTTGTTGTTCTTCTTATAGAACAAGATAAAAGCAAAGTGATAAAAGCAGATTTTTTCAACCCGTTGGCTACATACTTTTAGATATCTGACCAAATAGTTTTGTGGACTAATAGAGCTATAAGTAAAATTTCAAATTAAAGGCAAGAGAGTCCTTTAAATTTAATAAATCTAGCCTTGTGTAAGTGAACTTGCATTTTCTATTTTCTCATTTTGCTTTAAACTAATAAAGACTTCATTCCAAGCTGTCCCATTCAAAAGCCAGCATTTGGGAACTACTGTTCTTAAGAATGCCAGAGTCCTACAAAGATTTGATATAACTTTAACTTTAAGCATTTGTGATATAAAGATGTCAGAAGCAAATTATAAATAGAGAGAAAGGTATAATATATTGTAGACTTTAGTCAATATAACTCAGACTTCTAAGATTTGGTCTAGTTTTCATGAAGTAAAGTTTCATGAAATGACATTTTGTCTACTTAGTCAATTCATGCATTTACTGTAGAAATTGCACAAATGACATTTTTCTGTCCTTGGCCCTTTATTTCTTTAAAGAATGCAGTCTCGATAACTAGGTATATACACATATACCACTGAGCGATTGTATCCAGAGGTACTCAGCCAATATTAATAAAGTTTAAAGCCATGCACAGATTTTATAAACATCTGTCATTGTAAAATAGAGCGTTTTATGATGACATGCTGTGAAGCAACTTCCTGGCACACCTAGTCAGGAACAACAAATCTAAGATCTCTCTCATCCTGCGGGCTTAAAAAAGCTATTTATTAAGTGCATCTGGCGCTCAGAAAACTGTGCCATGTAGACACAATGCCCATAGCTCAGCTAGATTCCAAAGGATGTGTCTAAGAGTCTTTGGGATGCTTTAGAAATTCAGAAGGCCACAAACCTTGGAGGAAGGAAAGGAAGCTGGAAGGAACATTAAGAATGAAGGAAGCCCTTGCTTCTCTGGGTACCTAGAACAAGAAGCGCACACACCAGCACACCTAACATGTAATGTCACCAATTCCTTTCGGATAGAAACAGAAAGGAACTATAGCGCCTCTCACATCACATGTGCAAATGTTTCAATACTACTCCTTCCCCAAGGCCTGGTCCTCTCTGGGTGGTGACAGAGTCCCAAAGAGTATGTCTACAGTGAACAGCTCCCAGAGGCCCACCCTCCCTGTGGCCAGGCATTCTCTGAAGAAACAGGTGCTGGAGTGGGACATCCTCATGACCAAGCACAAAGTGCCAGAGAAGTGAGCCCAAGCTCCTGCCTCATTCTGTTCCTTGCACTTCTCTTTGTGTTTGTTTGAGATTTTGGTGGTGGCAGTGGCGGCAGCACTGGTGGTGGTGGTGGTGGTTTTGATTTGTTTTGTATTTGTAAGTGTACCAGAAAAGAATATCTTTAAACACTAGATTGAACTCACACAACAGCAAAGAATGGATCCACAGTACCCATCCCACACATTCTAATCAATGTTTTTTTTAAGTGAAGTGGCAGGTGAGATCATGTGTCCTATTTACATTCAATGACTGATAAATAGATAGCTAGATAGAAGACAGAGGATAGATAGGTGATAGGGAAATACACACACACACACACACACACACACACACACACACACACAAAGAATATATACAGACTTGGCTAGGTACATGTGTTGAATTTACATAAGGTAACTATACATTTTATATCGAATATTATAGAACTCACTCTCATGTTAGAAAACCCTAATACAGAGACTTTGTAATCAGAAAAAATAAAAGCTGACTCATTGCTCTACTAAACGACTTGGGAAAAGATTTTCTTTACAGAGAGAGGCCCATGTTCCTTCCTGTGCCACTGACTTTAAAACACAATTTATTTAGACCAGCTGAATTTGCATAAATCTTTTTATAAATACAAAGATACTTCCATAATTATAAATTTAAACGGATCATTATTAAATCATACGTTTGCACCCAAATAGTATGCAAAGAGCTCAATAAAATATTCAGGAGTTCATTAGTACCTTGGAGGAACTCAATTCTGAAAAGACCTTGTCTTTTTTTTACATAGCAATTTTTACATAGCAATGACCCTTATACATTTAAGCAACACAATGTCAGAATATAATGGGATAATTGAGTAAAATTTGGGTCATTATCTAGCTAATAATATTAAAATAACCAAATTTTAAAGAATTTATTTTCTTAAAATTTTGTTAATTTTTAACCAGTATTTGATTTCTCCCCTCAGGTGGAGTCCCCATAGTTCTACCACCATAGCATCTGTGATCCATCACCATAGTCCCTTGTGCTCTTCCCTCCCCTGTTTTGACCCCTCTCTCCACCATCTTGCTGTTTGCCTCAGATGAATGATCAGCTTGCAAGTTTTGTCTTTTTTTCCTGACCATTTGTTGAGTTTCTCTAGATTCTGTATATAAGGGAAACCAACCAATATTTTATCCTTTTTCTTCTGACTTGTTTCACTTAGCATAATCCCTTCCAGCTCCATCCACATTGCTGCAAATGGCATGAGTTTTTGATGGCTGAGTAGTATTCCATTTTGCTTATACCACATTTTCTTGCTCCAGCCAGCTGTTTGGGAGAAATTAGGTTGTTTCCATATCTTGGCTTAAAATTACCAAATTTTCAACCTATTAAGTGACTTTGGCAACAGGCTTCTTTTCTGGGGACTTTGGGCTGAAAAAAGTCACTCCATAAAGGCTGTTCTATCAAATTCTGTTTTCCTTGTCCTTTGTACGAATTCAAGTCTGATTTAATACATGCATACTGAACTTTCACTGTATGCCAGGCAATATGGTAGCCACTGAGGATCAATAGGCAGGCCCTGTCTTCAAGAAACATTCCCCTTGAGCTTCAATGTACACTGTTCTAAAGAATAGCCAGAAACTTTCAACCAAATTATCTGGAGGAGTGATTACAACACAGATGCTGGGTATCTGGATAACCCCCTCACCACCACCACCAACTTCCAATTCACTGTGCCTGGAATGGACCTGATAGATAATTTGCATTTTCAACAAGGTCACAAGTGGTGCTGATGTTGACACTGCTGATTTGGGGAACAAACTTTGAAAACCAGTGATGGAACCTAATAGACAAGTTAAAAGTCCAAAAGTTAGGAGAAGATGGTACAGAATTATTCACTGTGAATATAAAAATCAATACCATAAATTTAGAAAAGTTCTGGAGGTCACTGAGTACAGATAAGCAGTTATCTCCCTGTACACATGACCAATGACAATTTAATGAATATATACTGAGTAACTGGCATAAACAGAACCTAGGGTTGGGGCTGGGGATATAAGGACTCTACTTTGAAAGAATACATGGTCTAGTTACAACCAGCCTCTATTTGAACACTTTCTGGAAAAGAGAGGAAATGCTTGAGATACCAGCCTTATGAATGAATACAAAATAAACTAAATTATTTTCTCTCTGAGAAGATATTTTACATATGTGCAATCACAATAATCTCCCCACTTTGCTCTGTCTTTCCCAAACTAAGTATCTCCAGTTTCTTTAACTACTTTCACACTTGCCATCAGATCTCCTACTATCCTGCCCACTTCCTCAATGCGCACTTTAAATTGTCAACATCACCGTGTAAATGTGGTATCTAAATGGAACGTAATTCCCTCTATTGTAGTTAGAGTCTAGATTTAAATACTTTATTCTTTCATGCATTATTCTTGAGAACCTACTATGTGTTTGGGCTAATATATACAAAGTGCAATAGGACAGGGAGTTCTTTTCCATATTATAAGAAAAGGAACACAGTAGAATGAAAAGTTTTTAATACTAATTCTGCAGTAACTAGCTGTGACCTTGAACAAGTTGCTTAGCTCCTCTGAACCTATGTCAGCATCTGCAAAATGACATCATAACACCTGACTCTGAGTACCGAAAGTTATTAACATATATGAAA